AAACATACTTTGTTTGATCCTAAATATTATAATGTCTATAGACATATTGTGTGTGCGGGTAAGTTGTTGTTGTTGTTCCAAATGATGAACAAACAAACAAAAAAAAACTGGATTTTTTTTTTGGAAAACTAGCTGAATGAACACCTAGCTAATGAAAAAAAAGAAAAAATCTTATCAAACAAACCAAAAAGATTTGTTGTTCCTGGTTGTTGTATATGGAGATGTGTTTTTTTTACGAATAAAAAAAGTTTTTTTCTCAGTAAAAAATGAAAATTTCAATCCAAACATCCTGAAAACACACAAGTGAGTGTGGGAGAAAATAGAAAGAAAAATATTATTTATTAAATGCTTCAGGATGTCTTCATGAAATTTTTTTGACGATTGTCAACATGTAAAAAAGAGAAAATGTAAAGAAATTTTTGAATAAATGAATGAATGAATGAATGAATGAATGAATCTTGTTTAAATTTGATAAAATAAACCGAATATTCAGAATTTTTTTCATATATTGAAATTGATTTTTGTTTGGTTGTTTGGTTGTTGATTCAAATGTGTATGTTTATGTTTGTATTTACACAGACCCACACACACACACACACACATACAAAAGGTAGAAATAGTTTTTTTTTTTTTGGTTTAATTTTTACTTTCTGGATGATTGAAGAATGTGTGGAAAAAAAAGAAAATAACGGGGGTGAATTTTCAGTTCAATATTCTTCCACTATATATGTCTATTTTTGCCAATTCTCTCTCTCTCTCTCTCTCTCTCTCTCTCTCTCTCTCTCTCCATCTTGACTATTATGGATGAATAAATGATAAAGATGTTCATCATTGACGATGATAATAATGATGATGTTTCAATAAAGAATATACAGGTAAAAGAAGAAAGAAAATCCCAAAACATATATATGTGAATTGATATAATGTTTTCTAAATGATTAGCCTATCAAATTAACTAGCTATTTTTACGATTCATTCATTCAATTCATTATTTAGATCTATCTTTAGAAAGAAAACAATGTAACCTTTAAAAATGATTTTGATTTTGGTTTGGTTTTTTTTTGTGCGCATAAAAGAATTTTCAATTCAAACATACAAAATAGAATGATGAACATTTGAAATTTGAAAAGAAAAAACATCAGCAATCATATTCGTTTGGAAGAAAAGATTGGTTGTCGAATTGATGATAATGCAATTTTGTTTCGTTTGTTTGTTTACTTGAATCATATTTATAATAACTTTATTCATTTTGTAATTTTATATTTTTTTAATAAAAATTGATCATAATAATCATCACTAATAAAAAGTGAATGACAAGAATAAAATTAAGAAAAAAAGGAAGAAAAAAAAATGACAAATTAGATACTGAACAGCAGCAGAAAACGAAGAAGAAAAATTCTTTGCTAACTAACCAGGAAAAAAATGGCAATTCGAGCCAAACCAAACCAAAAAATGAACAATCGATCTAGGCTAACGAACCATAAATTTTTCATTTGATTTCCTTTTTTTGCTTCATTCTCATCATCATCATCATTTTTCACATCATATTATTTGGCTTCTAGAAATTTTTTTCTGTTGTTGCTTTTGTCATCTTTTTTCCATTGATGATTTGTCATTCGATAACATTGACAACAAACAAACGACGACAACAAATCATTCATTCATTCACTCATTATTGTAATATTGAAATGCCAAAAGAAGAAAAAGTAGTTTTATTTTTTGGTGATAATAGCAACTGAACAACAACCAAAATAAACCGGATTGAAACATCATTATGATCATCATCAATATCATCATCATTTTTTTAATGATTACACATTTGAACTTTTAAAAATTTTAAAATAAAAATAATAATAATAATAGTTTTATAATCTTGGCCAACCACCATATACTTGATTTTCAATACCACAATGATTTTGACCACGTATGATTTTAAAAAATCCACCTAAATTACCCCATAATTTTGTCCATGAATTAGCACATAACCAATATGGTATACCATTTTCCGTACCCCAGCCAATTATTTTTATACTATGTCCTTCGGATTGTGTTCCTAATAAATGTTGATATATACCGGTTTTATAATGATGAAAATCCGGATAAACACGATAATTTGCTTCAACAGGTCCATGATGAAATATTTCCCGACGGATTGAACGTTCATCATTCGGTACTTTATAATAATGTAGACCATAATATTTATCTTGTGCATAATTTTTTCCATTAACACATTGTTGTTGACAAACGGGTGTTTGAATAATATGTGATAATTGTAGATATGGTGTAAATGTTGCTAAATTCATTGGTGGAATATTAAATGGTTGACATGTTGTTAAATCACCATGCTGTCCACCAGTAACTAAACCATTTGTTATCCAATATTTCCAACCACGACTTGGATAACCACCTTGACAACCTTCACCATTTTTTGTACATTCTTTACAACAAGTAAGTAAATCTTGTGCAGATATTTCAACATTAATACGTTGATTTGAACCAATACAAATACGATCATTAATTGCTTGTACAACACCAACAGCCCAACATGAACTACAATATTGTCCTTGATTTGGTATTAATGATATTGTACGACAAAGTGGCCATTTTTGTCTTGCATCAAAATAATCTGGTATATAATCATCTGGTATTAAAATCTGTCGTTTATTATGTAATTTTGGTTGTTGATTTTCTTCATCAACATTTTCTTCATCAACAACTTTAAGATTTTTGAATTTTTTAGCCATTATTTCCTGATCAAAATTACGTCCAGCCTTTTTTTTAAAAAAAAATTTCAATTAAGAATATTATGCAACAAAAATACACACATACCTTCCATGTTGAATTCAAATGATTTAAATGATCAATAAATTTATCCGATGTATAATCAATATGTAAAACATTATCGATTATATCGATTGTCGATATGAATTTAATCGCTAATAATAAAAGTATTAAAAAATTATATTTTATCATAATTGTATCGATAATTGTTGAATCAAAATATGAATCAATTGATTTGGATATTTAAATGATTTTTGAAATTCAAAGAGAGGGGTATTTGATTGACGACATTGGTTTTTTTGTTGTTGTTTGTTGTTGTTGGATATTGATCTTGATTAATCATTTGATGATTACGTTTTTTTAACCAAAAATTTGACAGGATATTTCCCTTTAAAATTTTTCTGAATTTTGTTTTCCATTTTTATCCGGGATATAGATTTTTTAATTTTGTTTTGTGTTATTACTACGGAACAATAAGAACCAGTTTTAACTGGTATCATTGGTTAAATTGATCGATTGATTGACTGATTAATTAATTGACTGATTGATTGATTGATTGATTAATTGAAATTACGCATTTTTGTCATTTGGATTCAATAAATTATTGAAAAATTTTATTCAAATCAAGAAATAAATTAATGTTTTTGTTTGCAAAACAATGGATTAAAAAATAAACATTGTTTATTTTGGTAAACCAGCATAGATTTGTGATTCAATGCTAACTTCATTTTGTCCACGAAGTACACGGAAAAAACCATTTTCACCCCAATCAGTATTCCATGAATTAGCACATAACCAATATGGTGTACCATTTTCAACACCCCAACCAAGAATTTTGATTGCATGACCACTAACCATTGAATTACTTGTTCGTTGATAAACACCACTTTTATATGAAAGAAAATCAGCATAAACTAAAAATGTAGCTTCAACTGGTCCATTAGTTAAAATTTCTTTTTGTATATCTTGTACATTAGAATGAACATGATATGCTGATTGACCAAAATATCTATCCTGTTCATATGATTGATTATAACCAGTTTGACATTGTTGAACACATCTTGGTGTTTGTACAGTACTACCACATTTAGGACGATTACCATGTTCAACATGATGTTCACATGGTTCAATTGAATATGGTCGACAGGTATTTTTATCTTGATATAAACCACCAGTAACAATACCATTTTGTACCCAATATTCCCATGCCATTGCTGGATAACCACCACTACAACCATAACCACAATTATGACAACAGCTTAATAAATCTTCACCAGAAATTTCGACTTGTTTTTTTTGTCCAGATGCAATACAGATACGATCGGATATGGCTTCAACAGCACCGAATGCCCAACATGAACCACATGATCCTTGATCACGAATCTGTTGAATTGATTTACAATTTGGCCATTTATTACGTGCATCAAAAACTTCAGGAATATGTTCATTACTAATGTGATCATTTTTTACAACAGGAATTCTGGAAGCAATTTCTTCTGGAACATCAATAATAGCACCCATTTGGCCACGAATTTTTTCGATTGGTGTATTACGATCAAAATTTCGGCCAGCCTATCCAACAAAAAAAAAACAAAAAAAAATTTTTAGAGAAAAGCAAAATACACAAAACACAAAACACAAAAGTTACCTTCCATGTTGTTTTCAAACTATTCAAATAATCAATATATTCATCGGAAAGAAAATCAAGATTTTCTGGTTCCGGACGAGCCGATACCATTGAAATGGTAATGGCAAAAATAATGCCAAATTTCAAAAACATTTTTAATTTTTTTTTTTTCGTAGAAAAAATTAATCAAACAAAACAAGCAAAATCAATCTGATCAACGATTGTGTGTGTATGTCACCTCGTACTGATATTTATATTCATTTCATTATCAATCTTTTGTTGTTACTTGATTGTTTCATTTCCAGAGAATATAAAAACCCACACACACACACACACACAGAGAAAGAGATGTAAAAGATTAAGATTAAAGATACTTGAGATTATACCAAAAACACCCACACAAAGCTAATATCCTTGACAAAATAATAATAATAATAATAATCCTATTTTGTTTCGGTTTAATCCGGTTCCAAGATCAAAGAAAAAAAAACAATGGCAAAAAAATCCATCAATAATTATCAATTATCAACCAGGATTTCTTTCTTTTCTTTTCTTTTCTTTTCTTTTCTTTCTTTTCTTTTCTTTTCCACACTTAATACTTTGACCCAAATTAATTTGAAATGTTTGAATGTTGTTTTTTTTTAATAAATAAGATAATCTAATATGTGCTTGTGTGTGTGTTTAGGTGGAGAAATTATTAAATTCCAGGATTACCCAGAAAAATGAGAAAATGAAAATTTGCATTTTCATTTTTTGATCCCCAGAACAACAACAACAACAAATATCCGTAACCAAGTCAAGTGTTATCCGTTATTTGATGAATATATATGGATACAAGTGGTTAAATTAAAATAGAATTTAAACAACAAAAAAAGAAAAAAATCTTATGGAATATAAGATAACAAATTCTCTCTCTCCTCTCTCTCTCTATATTTTTACGACATTGTAAATTATGCAAATGAAGTGATGATGATGATGAACAAAATGAATGAATGAATGAATGAATTCCTTGATATAACCAAACAAAACAAATATACAAAATGATGGCGCCATGTTGATTGAGCTAGTGAAAATAAGGAAGGGATGATGAAAAAAATGAAAAAATGAAATGCAAACGAACCAAAAAATATCATCATCATAATAATAATATCAGTTACATCATTTCTTTCAACAACAACAACAACGGCAGAAAAGTAAGAAAAAATAAGAAAAAAAAAATGGAAAATTCAAACCATGATGACGACGACAACGTTAATTCCGGAGACCAGAAAAGATTGAATATATATTTACCCAGTAGTTTATCAAGAATCATTTTTCCATTCTAATGATTTTCTTTTTGTTTTGTCAACCCTTTTTTCTTCACCATCATTTTTATTATTATTATTCCAATCTTAGATGTGTGAATGAAATGAATGTTCGTTTATTTTTTCATTTTGGGATGTGCTTTGTTGTTTGCTAATATCTTTTGGGCACTCTTTCCCTCTTACACTCAAGAGTTTATGGAATCGTTGTTTCTTTCTTTTACTGCTTTACTGTTTAATCCCCCACCACACACACACCATAGATAATCCAATCTAATCAATCAATTAATCAAAAACGATCAATCTTGATTTAATTAAAATGAATTGTGCCTCTTTTTTAACCTTTTTTTCTTTTCTTTTCTTTTACTTTGTTGAAAAATGTGATATGCACAATCATATGCGTGCCAAAATGGTTCATTTCAATATGGTTTCTTCTTCTTCTATTTGGCTATGTAATGATTCAAACTCATTATTGAACCAAAAATACGTACATTTCTCTCTCTCTCCTACGTTATTCAAAGAAGAAGAAAAAGAAAAAGAAGAAAATGTACCAAACACACACACAGACAGAGACAAACTTTTACTTGATTGAATCAATCATTGATTTTTTTTAAAAAAAAGAAAATTTATAATTAAAAATTCATCATTATCATTATCATATGACAATTTTATTATCGATGATTTATTCATTTGAGCATGCTCAATAGATTTTTTTTTTGAAAATAATCAATTTTATTTAGAAAATAGAAAATAAATTCATTGAATTAATATTGTAATTAATAATGATTGTTATTAATTAATTAAATTAATTAATTTTAGGCATACCGGCAACAACACCACCTTCAATACCACATTCATTATCACCACGATAAATTTTGAAAAAACCATTTTCACCCCAATCACTATTCCATGAATTAGCACATAACCAATATGGTGTACCATTTTCAACACCCCAACCAAGAATTTTGATTGCATGACCACCTAATGCTTGAACACTGTGTCGTTTGTAAACACCTGATTTATAGTTTACAAAATCAGCATAAACACTGAATCCACTTTCAACTGGACCATTAGTCATAATTTCATGTTGAATTTGTGATACAATACTGCTAACACGATAAGCACTTTTACCACGATGTTTATCTTGTTCATATGATCGACTATATCCAGCAACACATTGTTGTTTACAATTAGGTGTATCAGCATTACCTTGTGCTGAACATTGTGGTCGAGGTCCTTGAGTATGATGTTCACATGGTGGAATAGTGTATGGTCGACATGTTTTATCATCTTCAAATAATCCACCACTAACTAAACCTTCTTGAACCCAATAAGACCATGCAGGTAATGACCAACCACCACTACATCCATAACCACATTCATCACAACAGGATAATAGATCTTCAGCTGAAATCATTACATCAACAGTACCATTTGTAGCAATACAAATACGATCAGAAATAGCTTCAGCAGCACCAAAAGCCCAACATGAACCACAAGATCCTTGATCACGTATTGTTTTAATTACTTTACAATTTGGCCATTGTTGTCGAGCATCAAAACTTTCTGGAATTTTTGCCATATCAATGTTTGCAACATATTTTGTTGGTAATTCTGTTTGTAATGGTAGTTCTTGATCCAATGAACCTAACATTCCACGTATATATTCTTTTGTAATATGTTTGTTGAAATTTCGTCCAGCCTGTGGATAATTTTTTTAAAAAACAGAAAATTTATTATTACAAAAATTGTTTAGATTAAAACAAAAAACAAACAAAAAACAAAACAAACCTTCCAGGTACTGTCTTTAATTTCATTCAAAGATTGAATATATTCATCGGAAAGAAATTCATCAGTTTCAAGTGATTTTAATTCAGGTCGAGCAAATGTAATTGACACTAATGTTGCCAAAATAAGGATGATTGATCGAAACATTTTTTAAAAAATTTCTGCTTGTTTGTTATTATGAGAATAATTATAAAAATAAAATACTACAACAACAACAAACCATATAAAAATATTGAAACAATTACAATGATTTATATATGGTTTATTTGACAAATTTTTTTTTCAACATTATAATGACACGTTTATTCTAATTGATTACAATCATTTTTAATTAAATTATCAACGACTACGACGACGTATCTACTTACGATTGTCATATGACAAACTTTTTTTTAAAAAAAAAGATAATCGATAAAATTAATTAGAATCCGGTATTTCAAAATATTCTTTGGGGTTTTTGTTAGTTTTGAATGTATCGTAATCAATCTTAACCAATCATCATTGTAGTCGTCACACTTTTTAATCCGGTTGATTGAACCTTGATTTTTATTCTGTTATCAGTTATTAATTAATTAATTAATTAATTATCGATCCATTTTTTTACTGAAAAAAAAGGTGAACCGGTTTATTTAGAAAAAAAATTTTGTGGGTTAAAAATTCATCATCATCATTATCATATGACAATTTTATTAATGAAAATAAATCATGTTTTACGCATGTTCGATAGATTTTTTTTTTGTTGAAAATCAATTTTATTTAGAAGAAATGAATTTGAAATTTGCATAAATTGATTATAATGATTGTTTATTAATGAATTTTCGGTATACCTGCAACAATATTACTTTCAATACCACATTCATTAATACCACGATAAAATTTAAAAAAACCTTTATCACCCCAATCAGCATTCCATGAATTAACACAAAGCCAATATGGTGAATCATCTTCAATACCCCAGCCAATAATTTTAATAGCATGACCACCTAAATTTTTATTACTGTTTCGTTTGTAAACACCGCTTTTGTAGTTTGGAAAATCTGAAAATACAGTAAATCCACCTTCTACTGGACCATAAGTCATAATTTCATATTGTATTTGTGATACACTATTACTAACACCATAAGCTTCCTTTCCACGATGTATATCTTGTTCATATGCTCGAGGATAACCAGTAATACATTGTTTATCACAATTAGGTGTTTTAGCTTTATCTTTTGATGAACATTGTGGTAAAGCACCTGAAGTACCATGTTCACATGGTGGAATAGTGTATGGTCGACATGTATCTTTTGTTCCATACAATCCACCACTAACTAAACCTTCTTCAACCCAATAAGACCATGCTGGCAATGACCAACCACCATTACATCCACTTCCACAATAACCACAACAAGATAATAAATCTTCAGCTGAAATCATTATATTAACACTACCATTTGTAGCAATACAAAAACGATCAGAAATAGCTTCAGCAGCACCAAACGCCCAACATGAACCACAAGTTCCTTGATCACGAATCTGTTGAATTGTTTTACAATTTGGCCATTTTTTTCTAGCATCAAAAAATTCTGGTATTCTTGCCACATCAATAGTTACAGATTTTGTTAATAATGACGTTTTCATTGGTATTTCTTGATCCAATAAACCTAACATTGAACGTATATGATCAGTTGTAATATTTTTATTGAAATTTCGTCCAGCCTATATCAAGTGGATAATTGAAAAAAAAATTATTGAAAAAAAATTAAATCTAACAAGAAAAAACAAACAAACAAACTTTCCAGGTAGTGTTTTTAATTTCATTCAAATATTGAATATATTCATCGGACAGAAAATCATCGGTTTCAAGTGCTTTTAATGATTTTAATTCAGGTTGAGCAAATGCGATTGACAATAATGTTGCCAATACAAGGATGATTGATTGAAACATTTTTTTTGGTTTGTTATGATTCGAAAAAAAGCAGCAACAAATCACATAAAACATAATAATGAAACAATTTCAATGGTATTTATACATGGTAAGAGAACCTTCAGAATGAAATTATTTTGATTACGATCATTTTGATTGAAATAGGTATTTTTTTCAAACAAAAATATTCGTTGCTGTTTGAATTTTTAAAATTTTTTTATCATTATCCTCATCATCATCGTTACAATTTTTTAATCTGGTAGTTTGAACCTTGATCTTGTTTTGAACAACTAAACTCCCAATTTGCTTATTTGGCTTAATATTTGATCAGATGTAAAATCAATCGATAATAAAAAACTGTAATATCCAGGACAAATAGTTTTATGATTGTTATCGAGATGAAATCTTTATCAGAAAGTGAATGTGACATGAATATTTTAGCCTTCCAAATTTTGTTTTCTGGCAAATAAGATGCATTCAAAGGGAAAAAAATATAGATTTGAAAAAGCGTTTTGGTTGCCTATACGTAAGTAAAGGTAATAAAACGAAGCGAAATGTAATTTTTTTTCTCTAATAACGTGGTTAACGCTCGAATAAATCATAATAATAATGATTTTTTTTTGAATAAAGCCAATTGATGAAACAATTTGCCAACTTCTTCTCCATTTTTTCTCCTGTATTAATTCATGTGGATGCTGGGAAGAAACAGAAACGAAAATTATCAGGCAAAGTTTTTTTTTTCATTTGATTCGTTCTTTCTTATTTGGTTTTTTTTCAACAAAAAAAACATCACATATGGTTATCTGAATTTTGAATTTAAATATTTTCATTTCTCATTTCATTTTCTTAATACCATTGATTTATCACAGGTGTTAGATATTTTCATTTTCATTTTAAATTGCTTTTTTTTGTTCGTTTGGTTGCCTATTACAAAATTATCGATAAGAATTTAAAAAAAAATGAAAAGATGCGAATCAAAACAACAACAAAAATCCTTTAATATCAGTTTGGCTAGAATTTTTCATTTTCTAGATATAGCATTGATTTTGCCCATTAAGAATTCAAACCAATTTCGTACTTTATGAATGGACATTTATTATATTTTATCCAAAATAATAGAGAAAAATAATTGGACATTTTCCTTTAAAAAAAAATCCAAAAAAAAAAGTTAATACCGAAGAAAAATCGAAAATCATTAATGTTCACGTTTGTCTTGTAATATATTTTCTTCTTCTTCTTTTGTTGGTTGCCTAGAGAGAGAGAATATCCAGAAATCATTATTGGGTTTTCGTTTTGGTTTTTGTTCTCATAATGATGATGAAATTCGTACCAAAATGATGATAATAATAAGACTAACGAGTTCAATGGTTAGATTATGACAAAAAACAACAACAATAACAAGCTTAGCGACCTTTTTTCTTGAATTTAAATTGAAAATTGTCCATATTCTTTTTCTTGTTTTTCTTCATAAATGAATGATGTTTACATAGAAATTTCATTATTTTATTTTTGTTTTACAAACAGCAAAATTGAATTTTTATCCTAAATCCGATTATTGATTATTGCGAAAAAAAACATACATACAAAACATACAGCAAAACATTGGTCAGTCAAAATTCAAAATAATTTTTTGTCAATTTTCCATATAAAGATAAAATTCTTGAAGACAAAACGATGATATCCTTAAAAGCTTACAGCAAATATCTGTGACCATTCAGAGTTTTGAAGAGAAAAAGAAGAATATTCTTTTTAAAAATTCTTGAATTTTAAATGTCAAAAAAACAACAACAACAAAAAGTTAAAAGTCAAAAGTTTTCATTCCGTTTTTAGTGGACAAAAAAAAGGAATTATGTTTTTTTTCAAAAAAAACATATATAAAAAGTATATGAAGATGATTCTTTCATTATTCAACATTTCATTTCCATTATTATCATCATCTTTTTCTTTCTCTTTTTTTCTTAAGTTTTTAGCTTATTAAGTACAAATCATCATCATCATCATAAAGGGTAAACAACAACAACAACAAATAATTTAATTAAACAACAACAACAACAACAACAAAACAAGAATTTTCATTCTTTTCTTTTCTTTTCATTGAAATCTTGTTTAAAATTTTTCCATTCGGTTTTTTTTTGTTCTTATTAGTTTGAATATTTGAAAAAACTATCGATTCTTTTAGTATCGATATATTGTTGTACTTAATCGATAGATTTCAATCAATCGAATGTTTTTTTTTTCTAATCCAAACATCATCCAGGATTTAAGATGATTTTATCTTTTTCCCTATCTCCCACACTCATATGATCCGATTCCAGATCAATCCGGATTATCAATGATAATCATTGATTTTTGTTTCAAGTGTATTTTCAAGGATAATAATTGATTATATCCTTGTAATTAGAATTGATTCTAATTTATCATTTGTGTTTCTTTTCTTTGTTTGTTTTTTTCAGGAAAAGTTTCAAGAAAAACAAAAAAAAAATAATTTTTCATTGTTTACGGGTGAAATTTCCGAAATAATTCTCAACTGAGAATTGTTAGTTTTTTTCAACAATACATACTTGTGATAAATATTCAACAACAACAACAACATGAAATAAAATTTATAGTTTTTTTTTCAAAAAAAAAAAAAACAACAAACCAAACCATTAATCAAAATGATGATGAAAATTGTTGTTTGTTGTTTGCTGTTTGTTTGTTTGCTGTTTTTTCAATATAAATCACAAAATAATCAAGTCAAATTTAATGGAATTTACAAAAAAAAAGTGAAGAAAATCAAATCAAATCAATGAATGAACTACGGTCCATCCAGATTTCATTTCCATTGTTGTTTTGTTTTGTTTTTGAATATTCATCATTTTCTTGTTTTTTGCTTTTGTCGTTGATCCAATTTATTGATCGATATTGGATGTTTCTTCTTCACTCTTCTTCTTCTTCTAGATTTTCATAAACATAATGCACATTGAATTTCTCTCTCTGTGTTTGGGTGTTTGTTGATAACTATACAGTTTGATGAATCGATGTTCATTCATTCATTCAGCTGTATATTTAACCCGACCAAGAATGTTATCGATGGTTGGCGAATCAAACAAAAAAAAAATGGAATTTTTTAATTCCAAAAATTGGTTGCTTTTGAAAACAGGGAAAAACAAAAAACCCGGGCCTAGAAAAACAACAGAATATTCTGTCTCTATGGTTTGGTTGAATAATAATGATGAGACCAAGCGGAAAAAAACCAAAAAAATTATCAATTCAATGATGGTAATGACACATGGATCGATTTTCATTTCTCTCTCTCTCTCTCTCTCTCTCTCTCTCTCTCTCTCTCTCTCTTCATTGATACACTTTATTAACAAAATAATTAACAAAAAAAAACATCCCTGTGTTATAATGTTTTCAACATTTTAACATTATCAATGTTTATCATCATCATCATCATTATCAAAACATGAATTTTGTTTTTTGTTTTTGTCAATTAGTTATTATTGGAAAATATTAATCAGTGGAAAACTAAATGAAGAAAACAGTGGAAAACCAAAGAACTAAAAACAAAAATCTACATAAACAAAAACAAGAGGAAAAATTTCTTTTTTTTACATTTGATTTGAAAATAACAAAAATTCTTTCATGTGTGTGTGTGTGTGTTTGCGTGAGTAAATCCAAATGATGAAAAAAATGAAATTTTCATTTTTTTTGTTTGTTTCAAAATGATGATGATGATGATGATTATGTGGATAAAATCTATAACCATCAATTGAAGGGATAGAGAGAAGAAAAACCGGAAAAATGGTTCTTATACGATTCTTACATTCGTTTTTTGTTTTGTTGACAGGTTTCAGTTTCGTTTTTTTTTGGAATTGGTTGCGGAAAACAAAAAAATCCTAAAAAGAAAATGACACAGACAAGATACACACATACAAACAGACAAAAACAATCATTTTTCCAGTTTGTTTGTTTGTCTGTGTTTTTCTGTTTGTTTGTTTCACATTAAATTTCTCTATGTAATTCTCTCTATGAATAAAGAACAGTGAAAGATTGAGTGAATGAATGAAACAGATTAAGAAAATACACAACAAAAAGATGCAAAAAAAAAATTCAAAAAAAAAACTGGGAATTTGTTTTTTTCAAAAACAAACCAAACAAACAAAATGTTTTCATGTAAAAGTTTAAAGAAAAACTTGAACAAAGTGTACGAAACCAAAACGAATGGGGAGAGAAAAACAAAAACCAAAACCAAAAAAAAGAACTACCAGAAATTCTTTACATTTAAATGTAAAGAATGTTGATGATGAAAAACAAAAAAAAAAAAAAAAAAAAAAAAAAAAAAAAAAAAAACTATAGGGGAAAGGAAAAATGAAAAAAATAAAAAAAATTGATCGAAAAAATGAATAAA